TTTTAATTACATTTATTGGTGTGTGTGTGTGTGTGTGTGTGTGTGTGTGTGTGTGTGTGTGTGTTGAGCTAGGGCCTTGTTATGTAGCTCAGGCTGGCTTCATAACTCTTTTTCTTAAACATTTATTTATTGTATTTGATTTGTTTTTTTGAGACAGGCTTTCTCTGAGTAGCCATGGCTGTCCTAGAACTCTCTCTGTAATCCAGGCTGGCCTCAAACTCACAGAGATCTGCCTGCCTCTGGGATTAAAAGCATGCACTACCACACCCAGTTACATTTATTTATTTTTAGAAACAGTATTTTATTTTTATTTTTTAATTCATATAACTTTATTTTATGTGCATTGGTGTGAAGGTATCAGATCCTCTGAAACTAGAGTTTCAGACAGTTGTGAGCTGCCATGTGGGTGCTGGGAATTGAACCCAGGCCCTCTGGAAGAGCAGACCGCTGAGCCGTCTCTCCAGCCCCTAGAAACATTATTTTATACTGTATCAGTTGCCTATATGTATATATGTGTGCTACCTTCATGCAGAGACCAGAAGGGACCATCAGATATTCGTGGAACTGGAGTTCCTGGGTGCTGGGACTCAAATTCAGATCCTCTTTAAGAAAACCAGTGCTCTTAATTTTGTCTCCAGTCCCAACCCAAGATTAATGTGTGTGAGGGGCATTCATGTGCCACTGTGTATGAAGGGCAACCAGTGGGAGTCTGTTCTCATTTCACATCAGTTCTAGGGATCAAAGTCAGATTAAAAAGCTTGACGGCAGACACTTTTACTCACTGAGCCACTTTGACAGCCATGGTCTCAAAATCTTGGTCCTACTACCTTAACTTCTCTAGTGCTCGGATTAGAAATCTGTGAAATGATATAACTAGCAATATGTGGCTAAAATTAACCTCATTAAAATGAACTAGAAACTGGATGTGGTGGTACAGGCCAAGCCAGGAGGATGGAGAGTATGATGCCAAGCTGGGCTACATAGTGAGCTGTGTCTCACCCCTACCCTCCAAAAAGAAAAGTTTGAATACATCAGTGTCTATATGGCAAGACAGCTAAATAACCCAAATAGCACAGGCCTATAGTCTCAGGTACTCAGGAGGCTGAGGCAAGAAGGGCTAGAGTCCAGCATGTACAACATAGACTATCCTTGTTGTTGTTGTCCCCCCCACAGGGTTTCTCTGTATTGCTTTGGAGGCTGTCCTGGAACTCGCTCTGCAGACCAGGCTGGCCTCGAACTCACAGAGATCTGCTTGCCTCTGCCTCCTGAGTCCTGAGAATAAGGTGTGTGTCACCACTGCCCAGTGACATCTTTTCTAAAAATATTTTTCTGTGGCTGGAAGATGGCTCAGTGGTGAAGAGAACTTCCTATTCCTGACACCCAAAATGGGCAGCTTACAACTATCTATAACTCCATGTGGCACACACCACACACAATAAATAATTTTCTAATAGTTTATGTATTTATATGTCTATATGTATTTATATATGTGGGTGTGCATATGCCACAGCACATGTGTGGAGGTCAGAGGACAACTTGAAGGAGTTGATTTTCCTATTCCACAATGTGGGTCTTGGGGCTTGAACTCAAGTTGTCAGGATAGTGGAGTGCCTTTACCTGCTAAGTTATCTTACTGGCCCTTACTTTTTGTTTTGTTCTGTTGTTGTTTTGAGACAGCCTCAGTATGGAGTCCTGGCTGGCCTAGAATTCACTATGTAGATCAGACTGGACTTAAACTCATAGAGATCCTCTGCTTCTGTCTCCTGAGTGAACACTCAGATTAAAGACATGAGCCACCAAACCCAGCTTTAAAAATAAAAATCAAGCCGGGCAGCAGTGGCTAATGCTATACAGAGAAATCCTATCAGCATGCGCAGCGCATGCACACACACACACACACACACACACACACACACACACACACACACAATAACAACAAAAAATTAAGACAACAAAAATGAACAAACAAAAAACCCAGTTTTATTATGTAGCCTGATCTAGCCTCAAATTGAAGGCTTTCCTTCCTCGGTTTCAAGTGCTGAGATTACAGGTGAACACTACTGGCATGCCCAACTTTGCTAAAGTTGTTAAGTTGTTTCTGGTTCTTTTGTTTGTTTGTTTGTTTTTTGTTTTTTCGAGACAGGGTTTCTATGTGGCTTTGAAGGCTATCCTGGAACTCGCTCTGTAGACCAGGCTGGCCTCGAACTCACAGAAATCCGCCTGCCTCTGCTTCCCAAATGCTGGGATTAAAGGCGTGTACCACCAACGCCCGGCAAGTTGTTTCTGTTTTTGAGACAGGGTTTCTCTATGAAACAGTCCTGGCACTCACTCTGTAGACCAGGCTGGCCTCGAACTCAGAGATCCACCTGCCTCTGCCTTCCCCTCCAGAATGCTGGGGCTAAAGGTGTGCAACATCCTAAAGTTTTTTTTTCTTTAAATATTTATTTTATTTAATTTGTGTGTATGTGTGTGTGTTCACCTGAGTTTTTTGTTGTTTTCTGAGATAGGGTTTCTCTGTGTAGCCCTAGCTGTCCTGAAACTTGCTCTGTAGATCAGGCTGGACTAGAACTCACAGACAATGGGATCCCAGCTTTGATCCCAGCACTGCCTTCCAAGTGGGTCACCACCGATGGGATGGGCTATACCTGAGTATGTTGTTCATCACAAGCATGCAGGAGCCTGAGGATGTCAGGAGAGGTATTAGATCTCCTGAACTGGAGTTACCAGTAGCTGTGAGCTGCCATGCCCATGGCGGGTGGGAATGGAACTCTAAGTTCCAGTGCTCTAAGCAATCTTTCCAGCCCGTGTGTTTTTCTAAAAAAAATCATGGCTTAGAAAACATCACAGCTGGCACTTCAGGGATGGCTCAGAGGTTAAGAACACTGACTGCTCTTGCAGAGGACCTGGGTTGTGTTGCCAGACTACATGGTGGCTTACAACTATCAGTAACTCCAGTTCTAGGGGATCCACCACTGTCTTCTGTCCTCCTTGAGCACTACACACAGGTGGTGAACTTACATACATGCCAGCAAAGCACACACACACACACACACACACAAATAAATCATTTATTTTTTTCATGTATTTGACTCTTTTTTTAAAATTTTATGTATATGTCTATGCATCACACGCATGCAGTGCCTGCCAAAGCCAGAAGAGGGCGTCAGATAGCCTGGAAACTGGAGTTACAGACAGGTGTTTGCCACCAATGCCAGCTGAGATAGTTACTCTAGTGCTCTGGAAGAGCAGCCAGTATTCTTAACCACTGAGCCATTTCTCCAGCCCCCAATAAATCTTTTTGTTAAAAAACAGAAAAATTCACGACTTAGAAAAGTATATCCATATTTTAAATCATACATACATGTGTGTGTGGTTTTGTGTGTGTGAGACACAATCTTGTTTTATGCACTGGCTGGCCTGATAGTCCATGATGGCCTCCTGGGCAATTCTCCTTTCTTAACCTCCTGCGTGCAGGTATTAAAGGCTTAATAATTTCCCTGTGATTGGGACAGTCATACATAGAAAACAGCTGTCATAATTGGGAAGTAGATATGAGATGAGTAGAAGGGGTAAGACTTTCCTCTTCATACTGTTGAACATTGTTTGATTCTGATTCTTTTTCTCCCCATGGGCAAGGATTCATTTTCTTTTTCTCTCTTTCTTTTCTTTTTTCTTTTTCTTTTCCTTTTTTTTTTTTTTTTTTTTTTTTGGTTTTTCGAGACAGGGTTTCTCTGTATTGTTTTGGAGGCTGTCCTGGAACTCGCTCTGTAGACCAGGCTGGTGTCGAACTCACAGAGATCTACCGTCCTCTGCTTCCCTAGTGCTGGGATTAAAGGTGTGCGCCACCAATGCCCAGTAGGATTTATTTTCTTTTTTCATAATACATGTTTTTTTTGTTTCAGAGTTTGGAAACCATTGGGCTAAATATATAGTAGCTAGCAACTGTATGTTGATACACACACACACACACACACACACACACACACACACAAGCCTGAGGTGGGTGGGGTAGAATATAGCTAATGTATATTGAACGTGCATGCCACAGAACCTTCCCAACATTCTAAGAAGTCTTATTAGACAACACAGGTCGATCATTGTGTCCCCATGTAAAGTAGGTAGTGCCTATTAGGATAATCTACCAACCAGAGTACGAATTAATTACTAGGAATTAACTACTGGTGCCTATCAATTGAACCTTGTAATCCTTGACATTATGGAACAACGAAGGTTATTATTACCTGAAAGGCCTCTTATGGGATATAGTGTAGGTCGGATGTGAAGACCTCCAACATAATGGTTCCAGCACCGCCGACCAACCTGTTGAATCTTTCCGCAATGGGATCCTTAGTGATGTTTGGCCTATCAGATTCTCTGGTTACCATGGAAATAGTTCTGGGTAATCACACTGGGATTAAAGTGTCAAAATCGCTTACCCTCTTGCCCCTTTCTATAATCACGACCATTTCAGTTGCACTTCCCGAAAATTCTCAGCACTGGGAAAGTAAACTAAAATGGTACAGTGTCAGGGTGCAAGCTTTCAGGAAGTGTGTAAAAAGAAACATGGCGGGCATTTTTCAGTTGCAATCGGCTAGCTCTGCCACACAGAGTACAATGACATCGTTACTCGATTTTTGCACAGGCGCAGTGCACAAACTCTCAGCGCACGCCTACGCACGCATTTTCTCCCCTTTTCTCTCCACTTTTCCTCTCTCACTAGTACTCTTCCTTCCCCCACCCACCACTAGGTCTTTCAGTCCTTTCGTAGAGCCGTTTAGTCTTTCCTTCCAACCTCCTACCTTCCACGGCTAGCTCCCCTCCCCCTTCCTTTTCCGTCCTTCGGGCAGAGCCTCTAGTGCATGCGCATAAGATACAAAGCCTCGCTCTTTGTCCCCCATCTGTCGTTCACACGAACCCAAGGCTTTGACAGTTGGTAGCCAATAGAATCTAAGAAATGGCGGACAAATGATTCCTCCTCTGGAGATAAACTTTGATTGGCAGTTCATGTAGCCAATCGGGAATCCAACATTGACCCCCTCGGGAGGCACCGAGCTCCGTCGGCTCGTTTCCGGCGGTCGCGCGCTCTTTTCTCGGGACGGTGGAGGCCGTGCAGCGTCGCCGTTAGTCTGAGCAAAGAACTGTGGGCAGAGGGTGAGTTTGGGGATTGCTGCGTGGTTGTTTGGGGGGCAGTGGGACTTCCTGCGACGATACGCGAAGGAAGGGGCTAGGGCGAGGCCGAGTTTGGACAGAGGATGTGTGTTCTAAGGCCCGTGAGGCCTTTCCCCCTCCGCGCACGGCCTTCACAGCCCACCCATGGGGTTCGGCGCGCTCGCCGTTCCACGCCCTGGGGTTTAGCCCATGCATCTCTCGCTTTCCTGTTCGGGGTTTTTGTACTACTCATCCCAGACCTTAGCTACCTTGAGTTGGCGGCTTGGGCCCCAGGGTGTGGGGTCTTTTATGCGAAAGCCCTGAAGTCGTGGTTGGAGGAGGAGGCGCTTTGCTTTGTCGGACGCTCCTCCTCCTTAGCCCCGCGAGGCCATTAATTCCGAGAGGGCCCGTGGGGCCCCTGCAGCTATGTTTCTTTGTGAAAACAACTTTTAAGTGAAAGTTTGCTAGTTCAGATAGATCCCCCTTGACGTTTGGCAGCTAAGTTCATAAAACACCTCCACCCCACCCTCGCTCGCTCGCGCCTTTTTTCCAAACCTCTGCTGCTTAAGCTTTTCCTAGCCATTTGTAGGTATCACTCTTCTAAATTAAGCTTAAATTTATGGCTTTATTTTCGGGTATTTTTCACTTTGCGGAAGTCTTACTGTAAGCTGACACCTTTCTTTGTATTTTTAACAGAAGTCGAGGTTAGCGAGGACTGGGAGACAGACACTGTGCTGTGCTCAAATCCAAGTCAAGGTAGGTGTAGTTAGGGTACCAGGTGAAGTGCAGAATGCTCAGTTGAATACGGACTTCACATTGAAAACAGATGAATTTCGGTGGGCTTTTCATGTTATTTAAGCTAAATGGTCTTTAAATCTGAAATTAAAATGTGACAGAGCTGTGTGGGTTTGGTTTTTTTTTCCCCTAATCCTGGCTGCGCTAATAGGGGATAGTGCTTAAATTTATGCTTGTACAACTTGGCTGTTACTAATTGAGCTTTCAGGGTGACACACCAGGTGTCCACTGCAGCCTGGTAAATTCACACTGGATTCATTCCTTCAGCAGTTTTCACTTAGTCAAATGTCCTAAAAATTGAGAGAGATCCTTGACTTAGATTTCATGTGCCCGTGGTTAATGTGGCCCTGTACCTAAACACGTGTGCAGTTGTAACACACACAGTATCTACAGTCGTTCTAATCATCAACATATTTTCTCAACAGTCCTTTTCATTCTGGTTAGTCTTAGGACACGTAAGTAGACAGAAATCCTTGCTGCTGCTCTCTTTTTATTGCCCAGTGGTTAGGGGGGGTTACTAAGATTATTTCTGCATATGTCTTGACATTGTACTGCCGCAGTTGGTGGTAGGAAGTATATCTTGAGTGCTTGATACTTCCTGTGTATTCAGTGGTACCTCAGGTTCTTTAGGCAGTATTAACTCACCTTCATTGGCAAATGCAAACTGGGAAAAGACTACATGGAAGGGATCTTTATTCAAAAAACATAAAGGTAGGCAGTTTAATTATTAAAAGTCAGCCTGGTCTGCATGGAGTGCCTTGGCCTCCTGAGATGACATTTGTTTAGCATTCCTGTTTCTTTTTTTTTTTTTGAGACAGTTTTTCTTAAAGTGGAAATAAGAATGGTAGTTTCCTTCAGGATCAAGTGCTTCATCTATTCCTGAATGATAGCTAAATGCTTTGTAGTAGTATCTCACTTAGGCCTTAAAGTTAACTAGCCACTCCTTTAAGGTCACTCACAGTTACACTCACCATTGCTATCTTAACAGGTTACACAAGTTAGGTGACATAGCCGGTGAGTTTTTTGGAGTTTATATTGAATTGAAGACTTTACTGCATACTGAATTTATAGGACAGCATATCTGGGTTCCATTTGTTACACTGGTGTGGCCTTGGGTGGATAAAGTATTTTTTAGGTTTCTGTTATCATTTAAAAGAATAACAGCTCAGGGCACTAAATGAAATGATGCAGATGTAGAACATTATCCGGACTTTATTGAGACAAGGTCTCACTTGCTAAATAGCCTGGTCTAAAACTCATCATGTAGACCAGTAGACCAGGTTGGCCCCTATCTCACAGAGATCCACCTCCCTCTGCATCATGAGTGCAAGCTGGGAAGGAAGGTGTGTGTCACCACATTCAGCTTGTTGCCTGCATTGTAATGGGCAGTAAATATATTAATTTTCAGAGTGTACCTTTTAAAAATCTTTTTGGATTTTCGAGATAGGGATTCTCTGTATTTGGAGTGTGTGTCACCACTGCCCTTGGTGGCGCACGCCTTTAATCCCAGCACTTGGGAGGCAGAGGCAGGCGGATCTCCGTGAGTTCGAGGCCAGCCTGGTCTACAAGAGCCAGTTCCAGGACAGCCTCCAAAGCCACAGAAAAACCCTGTCTCGAAAAACCAAAAAAAAAAAAAAAAACAAAAATCATTTTTCTTTGACAATTTCATTCATGTTTATGATGCATTCTGGTTACTCTTCCTCTTCATCATCTTTATTCTCTGCCAGTTCCAGAATACTTACCTTTTCCAGAATATATTTCCTAAAGCCAACCTTCCTTGAAATAAATGGTTTAGCTGGGCATTGGTGGCGCAAGCCTTTAATCCCAGCACTTAGGAGGCAGAGGCAGGCGGGTCTACAGAGTGAGTGCCAGGATAGGCTCAAGCTACATAGAGAAACCCCGTCTCGAAAAACAAAAAGAAAAATGGTTTAGAATATCCTTCTACTTTTTTTCCTCAATGTATGTTTTATTTAAATTAGAAGCATGAATGCTTCACATGTCAATCCCAGTCCTTTTTTCTTTTTTTAAAAGACAGAATTACACTGTGTAGGTATAGCTCACCTGGACTAGGCCGGGAATTCAGAGATCCACCTACCCCTACCTCAGTGCTGAGATTAAGGAGTGGGTTAGGATGCCCAGTGTTTTGTTTGGTTTTGGAGACAGGGACTCACTATATAGCCTAGGTTGGACAGGAACTCTGTAGCCCATGCTGGCCTGAAACCTGGGGTTGCCCTACCTCGGTCTTCATGGAGTGTCACTGCAATTAAAAGCTGGAGGGAAAAAAATGTTTCTTGGACTCCAACCTGAAAAAAGGTAAGATTTAGTGGGACAAATGGCTGTGAAGATGACAAATCTGCCTCTGACTACTTCTGAGATGGAGGAAGGGGACATTTAATTAATACCTACACTTAAAATAGGAAAAGATTTGGTATTTTCTCCCATCTCCAACTGTTTCTGGGGGGGGGCTTTCATTTTTTTGTGTTTTTGAAGGGAGGTAGGAGTCTTGCTTGTTACATAGTCAAGGCTTTCTTGAAACTGTTTTGTCTCAGCCTATACAACGATGGAATTACAGATGTACACCATCATATCTTGCTTACATCTTTTTTTTCCTTTTTGAGACAGGTTTACACTATAGCCCAGGCTGACTCAAAACAGCATTGGCTAGGATTATAGGAATGAGGCACATTGTCCAGTTTATTTTTAAATCATTGCCTGGAGCCCTGCTTGTAGGTACATGCCCCTACTCCCAGCACTGGGGGAAGGCGGGTCAGGGGCAGGCAGATCTCTAGGTTCCAGGCCAGCCTGGTCTACAGAGGAAGTTTCAGGACACCCAGGACTTTTTTTTTATTTAAATTTAAATTAGAAACAAGGTTGCTTCACATGTCAATCCCAGCTCCCTCTCCCTTTCCCTCCCCTCCCACACCCTCCCACCAACCCCCCCCATACTTCCTCCTTTCCCCAGGGAGGTAAGGCCCTCCATGGGGGTGTCCATAGTCTGTCATTCCATCCAGGGCAGGACCTAGACCCTCCCCCAAAAGTCCAGGGTGAGAGCACATCTCTCATTGTGGGATGGGAGCCCAAAGTCCATTTGTATACCCGGGATAAATACCGATCTACTACCCAAGACTCAATAGATTACCTAGGCCTTCTCACTGACACCCACATTAAGGGGGTCTTGATCAGTCCCATGCTGGGCTCGCAGCCATCAGTCTGGGATTCGAGAGCTAACCCTTGTCAGGTCAGCTGTTTCTGGGGGTTAAACCATCCCAGTCTTAACCCCTTTGCTCATCAGTCCTCCCTCTCTGTCACTGGCTTCCTTGAGTTCAGCTCAGTGTTAGCTATGGGAGTCTGCCTCTGCTTCCATCAGTCACTGGATGAAGGTTCTGTTTCCCAGACTCTCTGGCCATGGGATTGTAGGCTGGCACTCCTCTGATCTATGTCTAAAATCCACATATGAGAGAGTACATATCATGTTTGTCTTTTTGTGACTGGGTTACCTCACTCAGGATGGTTTCTTCTAGTGCCATCCATTTGCCTGCAAATTTCAGGATTCCATTTTTCTTTGTTTTTTTGACACCCAGGACTGTTACACACAGAAACCCTGTCTTTTTTTTGGTTTTTCGAGACGGTTTCTCTGGCTTTGGAGGCTGTCCTGGAACCCGTTCTGTAGACCAGGCTGGTCTAGAACTCAGAGATCCGCCTGCCTCTGCCTCCCAAGTGCTGGGATTAAAGGTGTGCGCCACCACCGCCCAGCCCAGAAACCCTGTCTTAAACCAAGAAAAAAAATATTGTTTAAATAGGTTGTTTTATTTGCCATTAAATTGCTTCACCTATTGATAACATTTAAAAGTATAGCTTTTCAGGAAAACTATACTGTCGAGAGTCACAAAGCTGGATTCTGTTTTCTAATAAGTAAACACAGCTAAAAGCACTATAGTGCTATAATAGGAAAAAGCTGAAAGCAACCTAAATTATGGTACTTCAATAAATTAGTATATATCTAGGTGTGCTTTATGTAGACATTAAAATTATGTTGACATTGCAGAAATGAGGAAAAGCTGAACAAATGGCACATTGATGTTTAAACTAAAACAGTAATGTCTCAGGAAGTAAATAGACAGGGACAGAAATGGTGAAAGGAATATTTAAATGCAGATGTGCCTAACGATAATATCTGTGTGCATTGATTCGAATAGTAAAACTTAGAACAACCTAAAGTGTCCAACACAAATAGGGGTCTTTATTTTTGGAGAGGTGATGGGGACGACAGGATTTCTCTATGTAGCCCTGGCTACCCTGGAACTGGTATAGACCCCAGATCTGCCTACCTCTGCCTCCTTAATGATGGAATTAAAGGTGTGCCACACCATGTCCAGCAGTGATAAAGATTTAATTATGTGATAATTGTTCATTATTTACCATTAAGAGGTTATACAAACTGGTTAATTTTTGTATTTTGGGGCACATTTTTCTTTTTGTTATTTCTTTGATTTTTGAGACAGGGTGTGCGTGCGTGCGGGCGTGTATGTATGTATGTATGTATGTATGTATGTATGTATGTATGTATAACTAGATGTCCTGGAACTAGCTCTGTATCTCTCACAGAGATCCACTTGTCTTTGACTACCCAATGCTGAGATTAAAGGCAAATACTACCACCCTTGGCTGGCACACTTTTTTTTTTTTTTGGGTTTTACGAGACAGGGTTTCTCTGTATTGTTTTGGAGGCTATCGGTCCAGCCTGGCCTCGAACTCACAGAGATCCGCCTGCCTCTGCCTCCCGAGTGCTGGGATTAAAGGCGTGCGCCACCAACGCCCGGTGACTCGGGCTCTTAGAGTGCTTGGAATTACAGACATGAGCCACCACCACCATGGCTGCGTGGGGTTCGTGGGTTATTTCTTTTTTAATTAGGAGGCCAGGTGTAGGTTCTGGCCTGGCTAGGCATAGAGGTGCATGCCTT